CAGCTGCAAACAGGCAAAAAAAAAAAAAAATCAGGCAAAAAAAGCAATCTGCTGGTGCTGTGCAGGGGAGCAGGGTGCAAGCTCTGAGGAATTTGAGGACCTGGACCCTGCTTGCATCTGGGGGATCTGGGCAAAGAGTGATGTTTTCATTCCATGAGCAAACTTAATATTCCTTGGTTTATGGCTTCTATTGGAATGCAAATTCTTAAAGTATGCAAGTTGAAGTCGTTGAAATGTCTTGCTTTGATGGTGGCTGAGTGCTGCAGGAAGAAATGATACAAGTTAGAGCAGTCAAACCAAACCATTTACACTGGCATGGCTAAACAAGAGGTGCACAGTTGTTTTTGCAACCCTATTCAAAGTCCAGTCTGTAAGGAAAATACAGAATATGCCACCTTCTCCATCCAACCCTCTCACTGTGGGCAGCAGGGTTTATTTCAGAGGAATGTCCTTCAGACTCTTTGTTTGAAAAGGAGGTTGTGACAGGGGTCAGAGGTGATGTCAGGGATTCCACACTCAGCTGCTCCAGATAATTATGCAGCTCCTTAACCTTTCAGAAGAGGTGGGCACACGTGTCCAGTGAGTGCCTGTCCCCTGTCCTGCCCTAATTAACACCTGACCATGCTAATGGAGCAGAGTGCTCAGCTCTGACACTCAGAGGAGTGGCAATGCACACCCTGCAATTTTAGCAGCAGAGGGAGGGAGCTGGATTTGAATCTTCTCCAAAGCTCTGAATCGGGGTCAACGCACTTCAGCTGCTGAGAGGAAGGACAAATGGCTTCTGTAGGAGGAGGTGCCCTGCCTGAACTCCAGGAAAATGGATTACATGCACAAGTACATTTTTTTTTTCTCTTATTCAGCCCCCCATGCTTTGTCTTGCAGTGAGACGAGAAGGCAAGAAACCACACAGTGGTGCATTTGTGTGGTGTTGGATACACTCAGGTTTCTTCTAAAAGCCTGGAACCAGACCTGGTGTTACCACAGCCCTAGAAACATCATGGAAACAAGCAGTTCTGTTGCCTCTTTCCAGGTGAAACAGTGAAATAAGGAGCCAAAGAAACTGAATATCAGACATGGTTTTAATTCCCAGTTTTGAACGCCTGGCTTAGGATGACAGAAAGAGAAGTCCGTGCCCGTTGGTTTTTGCAGGCCAGTGGATCTGCTTGTCCTCCTTGCAGGAGGGATTTTTCTTCTCTGAGAGCAAAGAGTAAAGCTGAGCAAGTGATTTTGGGTACTTCCTGTAATCCATACTCTCAGAGACCAAACCCCATCATTTACTAAGCTCTGTAACAGCCTTCTGAGGTGGGGAAGTAGCAATATCCCTCTTCTTTAAAATGGGGAACTTGAACCAAATGCTGGTAGGAGTCAGATGGAAAGATGGTGGCTGCAATAGATGTTCTTTATACAAAATCCTCTCGCCTGCTTCCTCTGCAGGCTCTCAGGCAGGGGAAGGCTGGCCACACTGGTGCTGCCAGTTTTATGTGCCTGAAGGAGCTGCAGCCACCAGCCCACCTGAGCTGGCACAAGACCACGCACTATCTCCTTTTCAGTCAGCCAGCCTGGTGCCCCTGTTTGCCTTGCCCCAGAGTTTTAGCTGTGGGGATGAAGTGGGTGTGAAAGTGGACATTCCTCATTTTACCTTGGAAGCCACGGAATGGGTCAGAAATACCCAGCTGGGCTGTGTGGCTGTATCCTGTGCCATTTGCTGGCTGGCTTTTACATAGCTGCTTGGTGGGGTTTTGCAGGAGTTCACAGGTGCCAGAGCAGCCTGCAGAACAAAGTGATTGGTTTTGCTGCTTGGCAGGTGGCAGCAGTGGTGCAGGAAATGTGACAGCAGCAGTGTTAGCAATGTTAGTGGTATTGCTTTATCAGTCTTGCCCAGTCTTGCTTTCTGCACTCGTGGTTAGGTGCTGGTGATCCATGGGATGATACAGGTGCTTGCATCCCTCGTTCTGTGCCCCAGGAGAGGAACAAACGTGTTGGTGACACGATGCTGGGTGGTCCAACACACACACAGAGCAGGTGCTGTGGGGCTTGTGGTCGTTCAGCTTCCACCTAAGCAGAGCAGCCCTCACAGAATGGTTTGGGTTGGGAGGGACCTTAAAGATCATCTCATTTCACCCTGCCATGGGCAGGGACACTTCCACTATCCCAGGTGGCTCCAAGCCCTGTCCAACCCTTCCAGGGAAGCAGCCACAGCTCCTTTGGTCACCCTGTGCCAGGGCCCCACCACCCCTGGGGACCTGGGTGTGACCAGGTGCCTCTAAAACACAAAGCTCTTGCTGAGATCGTGCAGCACATGAGACAAGGAAAAGAGGTTTATTTTCTGTCTCCAATGCCCTCCAGTGTGAGATCTGTTCCCTGCTGTGCCTCCTGCAGTTGTGTTTCTCAGCACCTTCTCTGGCTGTTTTCTCAACCCTTTGGATCAGGGCTTTGAGGGCAGTCTTGCTGACACACAGTTTGCCTGGGGAACTTGTGTGGGTTCATGTTGGGTTCAAGGGCTGCTCATGGTGTTTTGCACTGATGGGTGTTGACAGGGGTTCAGGTTTGGGCAGAGCAGAGGAGCAGCTCCCAAGGATGCAGCCCTGAAGGGAAGAAAAAAGAAAAAGAAAAGAAGCAAGCAAAAATCTGTACCAAAGTGTACTGAAATCAGCAGCTGGCTTTGTCAGAACAGCCAGGAGCTCTTTTGCTGAAGTGATTGTCCTGGGAAAAGCCAACATGTGAGCCACAGATTGGGATAACCCTTGGTTGTGTTGGGTTTTTGTAATTCTTCCTTGAAGTGAATTTGGATCCTGTGTTTTGACACAACAAGTTGGAAAGAGAACATCAAAATGATGAAATGTCCAATGTAAGAGGGCAGGGAAAACTGGGTTTCCAGGCTGCCTTTATCCTGGCTTCCAGCCTTGTCCTGGGCAGCTCAGCAAACCTCTCTGGGCTTCCCTCTCTTCATATACAGCCGTGATGGTGCCCACCTGGCAGGGTTAGCAATCATTTGAGACCATCCTTGGGCACACGCAGAGTAATTTTATTCTTCATCCCTTAAGTGCTAAAAAATCAGTGTTGTGGAGGGGAGCAAGAGCAGTCAGAAATACCTGCAGCATCCTTCACCAATGCTGTGTTTGGGATGGGTGAATGAATGGGAATGGATGAGACCCAGAGGCAGGAGCTGCTCCAAGGTGGGGCCACCACGAGCTGAGCTCTTTGTGCCCAGTGTGCTCTGCTGAGCCACACCAAGCCCAGGTGGGGATTCCTGAAGGAAAGGATGGGCTTTCCCCCTGCATCACCCCACGTTTGTATTTGTATTTTTGTCCTGTTTGATGTCCTTTCCTCCATGCCAACTCTCTCAAGCCCCCTGTGAGACATCAGAGTTCCTCAAATGCCAGGCACAGAGAGGCTCTGAAGCCCTCTCTGCTCTTCAGTGGGATGAATAGCAACAGCTTTTGAAGGACTCTCCTGCTGCTCCAACTGGCTTGGCATTAAAACCCAGCACCTTTCAGGAGCAGAAGCCACTTGTCCTTGGCTCCCAAACCTCAGCTCTGAGGAAAAGCTGCTCCACGTGCTGCCATTCAGGGAGCAGCTGGCCATCAGAGCCCCGGCAGCATCTCTGCCCCACGTGAGGCAGACCTGGCACCTGAGAGGTGTCTCAGCTGGGCACAGCCTCCTGCCTGCCTGTGTGCTGCACAGAGACAGCATTCCTGTGCACAGCCTGCACAGGGCACACGGGGATTTGCTGGTGGAGCAAGGGAGGGAGCAGCGCCTGCCCCTGGGTCAGTCACAGCTGTGGCTCCCAGGGCTCTGCCCTGATGGGGGTACAGGCACAGCAGCCTGGGCTGCTCCTGCTCTGCTCTTGGGTGCTGCTGCCCCTGGCTGGGCTTTGGCTGCTTCTCCTTGCTCAGACTTGGGGTAATTCTGCTTCCTGTGTGTTGGGAACTCCCCATGTGTGGAGACGCGAGGCTTGATTCTATGTTCTCAGAAAGTTAGTTTATTATCTTACTTTATATATATATATATATATATATATATATATTAGAATACTACATTAAAACTATACTAAAAAATAGAAAGAAAAGACTAATCAAACAGCTAGAAAAAATAAAAATAAAATGCACAACAAAATCTTGTGACTCTGAGTCCGATGCAGCTGCATCTGTGATTGGCCATTAATTAGAAACAACCAACATGCACCAAACACAGCTGCACCTTCTGCTGCCCATGGCACCACCCCAGAGCCTTCTGCTGCCCATGGAACCACCCCACAGCCTTCTGCCTTCTGCTGCCCCTGGCCCTGCTCTGAAACTGCTGTCACCAAGGGGCTGACCTGTGTTTGTTGGGGTGTTTTTTTCACAGTTGCTCTCTCACTTCTCAGTGCAGTCCTGGAGGGGTGGCCAGCTTCTGGAGGCACTTTGTAGGGAGATGAGCAGAGCTGTGGTGCTGCCTCTGAGGGTGCAGGTGGGGCTGGGAGGGCCTGACCCAGGCTCCCTCTTGGGCTAACCCACCCTAGAGGTGGCTCTAAGAATTGTGTTTGTCCCATTGAGGGGAAAGTTCCCAGTTCAGAAGGCAAGGGGAGGAGCAGAGTCAGCATCCAGTGGCTCAGGTGAGAGGATAGGACAGGTGGGGACATGGACATGGTGCTTCCCAGCTGAGCACCCAGGTCTGTTGTTGACAAAGGGGATAATCCTCCTTTTGGGACGTGGATGAACTATCTGTGGGTGCTGGAGAGTCACAAAGCATCCTGGCCTGTTAGTTAGCAGTCTGGTTTTGTATCCCTGCTGAATTGTGCAGAAGGACAGAGCATTTTTCCAGGCTGGCAGGCAGTGCTCATTGACACCCGGGCAGAGTCTCAGATATCTCATCACCAGGTAGTTTTGTGGGCTAGCATTCAGGTGCTTTTAGCTAATGGAGGCCTCAAATAGGCCTTTTTTCTGACCAAGTGAACTGTTTTTTGGTTTGAAAGCCTCTTCTCAGGTGTTTGCTCACTTAGCTGTGTTTTCCAGGCAAAAGAACCCAAAGCAATTATGAAGATCGAGCACCTAAACGCGACTTTCCAGCCTGCAAAAATCGGGAACCCGCACGGACTGCAGATCACCTACTTGAAGGACAATAGCACAAGGAACATCTTTGTCTATCATGAAGATGGCAAGGTGAGGCCCTGGAGGTAGTGAGAAGGTTTGGGTTGTGTTCTGGGGGCTGGTGCTGCCCAGAGCCAGCCGGTGGCACACCAGGCTCCAACCGAGCTGGAATCTCTTGGAGGGTGGAAGGGTGAAGCAGGATGCTCAGCCAGCTTTGAGAGTGTTTGCTGTGTTCTTCCAAGCATAAAGGGTGGCAAACTGTCTTCTAAGTAAACAGATGCAAATGGAAGGAATTGGAAATTTCTTGCAACTTGGAGTAGAGGATTTTTCAAGGCAGGCTCCTCGGTACCCAGAGGAGGCAGGGTGGATGGAGCATTGGAAGATGAGGGGACTCAGCCCAAAGTCTTGCAACTTGGAGTAGAGGATTTTTCAAGGCAGGCTCCTCGGTACCCAGAGAAGGAGGCAGGATGGATGGAGCAAGGGAAGATGATGGGACAGCCCAAAAACTTGCAAAAGGGGAACAAACTGGAATGTAGGAGAAGCAGGGAACTGTTGTGGTGCTGCCCATCTCATACTTCATAAAATGCAGATATTCGTGTTTGTATTGAAACAAATCCCCTTGTTCAGGTGTCCCTGAAGGGAGGGATGAAGGAGAGGGCCCGTGGGTTTGGGGTGGTCTTTTGTGGGTCCCAGGGAGCTGCTCCCAAACTTCAAGTGCTTGTCAGCAGGTGCTTCTTCAGCCCAGCCCAGTGTCACTCCAGCTGCTCTCAGGCACCTCCCTGCTGCAATTTAAGCCAGACTAATGAGCAGCAGCTCTTTTGTGGCAGAGTTGCATCCCGCTGTTGTGTCAGAGTCTGTGGTTTGCTGGGCTTTGGTGGTTTGCACAGCCAGGCAGCGGGGATGCAGTCAGGGATGTGGGTTGTGCTGCTGAGGTTTGTGCTGGGGGCTGTGGAAGGAGCCTGTCACCGCTCCCACGCAGGGCAGGATGTGCTCTGATGAAATCTGATCATGACCTGTCTCAATTCCCTTCAACTTCCCTGAATCTGGTCTGTCTCCTTGGCTGCGCAAGGGCTGCAAGAAGATGAACCCCTGGAGTAATCTCCTGTCCTTTGGGAGTGCAGGCTGCCCTGGGACTCACCTGTGGTCCCCTGCTGCCCTTTGCACCCTCTCGTGCTCCCCCAGCAGCCCCAGTGTGTCCTGTGGACCCCAGAGGTGCTGCCTCTCCCTGGTCTGGTTCTTACATTTCATAGAATCACAGGATGGTTTGGGTTGGAAGGGACCTTAAAGCCCATCTCATTCCACCCCCTGCCATGGCAGGGACACCTTCCTCTATCCCAGGCTGCTCCAAGCCCTGTCCAACCTGGCCTTGGGCACTCCCAGGGATCCAGGGGCAGCCCCAGCTGCTCTGGGCAACCTGTGCCACAGCCTCAGCACCCTCACAGGGAAGAATTTGTCAAATCTCATTTGTGTCAATGGATTATCAAAATTCCAGAAAGCAATTTACTGCTGGAAGTCAGTGAGGGTTTCAGCTTCTGCTTTCTGCAGGGTGAAACCCTACCTCACATCATGATCACAGAGAAGACCCACAGGTAAATAAAGAAATATGTGTATAACCTCCCAGCTGGTGGCTGTATAAGTTATCAAATTTTTAACATCACAGCTTGTTGTTCATTAGCTCCAGCCTGTTTGGTCATCATTAACTTCAGGAGTGAATTCTTCTCACTGATCCTCTTTGTGGTGCTGTCTGGGGTGTCCTTAGCTGCTTAGGGTAGGAAAGCAAGTGATAAGTGAGTAAAACCTCAGACAAGTAGGTCAGACTTTTTCAAAACATTGTTTGTCTATGTCCTATTATATTTTGGTGTTTTTTTTCCTTTCAACTTGAAGTAGCTTAACAAACCAAAGCAAAGATCTTTAAATTTTGGGAATGGCTATTGGCCACATTAGACCATTTTTGAGATACCCCCCCATTCAGTTCCTTAAAAGTGAGATTTCAAAATTTTCGTGAGCCTTTCCTCCTTACCCAGATCATTTCTAAAGCATAAAAAAGTTTAACTCTTAGAGAAAGCAAACTTCTCCTTTGATATGGTCTTTCCTACACTACAGCGACCTCACCTGAAAGGCTTTGGCAGTGTTTATTTTGGGATTAAGGGTGGCTCATTGAACGTGTCCCTGATGTGATGTGTGAAGCTTCACATGCATTAATGACAGCAAGACACTCAGCATCCCTCTCCCTGTGCTCAGCATCCCAGGCAGGGCAGCTCCCAATCTCCCTTCCAACAAACCTTTCCTGGTCCCACGGTCTCAGACCACAAGGCAGTGTTTGAGTGCTCCCTGTGTGGAACACTTAAAATTAATGTGACATTTCTCAGCAAGACCTTCAGAGACATACAGCACAAGCTGTTGGGTCCTACCAGAGATAAATGAATGCATGAGTTTAAAAATAAATAAATTATAAAACAATTATTTTGTAGGAGGAAAAAAATTATATTTTGGTGTTTGGGTTTTTTTGGTTTTTTTTTTTGTTTTTTTGTTTTTTTTTTTTTTCCAAGGAAAGAGAGAAATGCCAGAGCTTCTTGGTATCACTCTGTCTGTCCCTAGAGGACTCTCAGGCACAGCTGATAGACTGGGATGCAGAGATGAAGAGATGTTAAGCTTCTCTTTTAGCAAAACATTGAAGTGTGTTGCTGGAATTCGGGTGGGCTGCAGGTGCTGCTGGGGTGTCCTGTGGAGGGGTCAGGGCTGGGTGGGCAAGTCGCACCAGGCAGCACCAGCCCAGCTGTGTTTATAGGGTCAGCTCAATATTTCAAGTGCTCTTTTGGGGCTGTTTCTGCCCCTTCAGAGATGTTTAAATCCTCCCCTCTGCAGAAAGCCCCTCGGTGCTGACTGGAAGCTGCAGAGCTCTGTACAGGTCTGGCAGCCTGGAACGGCAGCCGAGTGTTCCACATCCTTCGCCTTTTTGCTGAATTCCGTGTTTTTTAGGATTGCTGCTGCAGTGTGCTCTGTCACTGGGTCCAGAGTGACAGGAGAGATGAAACCCAGCAGGATCAGGTTATTTTGTGTGCAGGCTGCACTCCTCACTCTGCTTTTCTTCCTCATTACTAGGAAATAGTGGATTGGTTCAACGCCATCCGGGCAGCACGCTTCCATTACTTACAAGTGGCATTCCCTGGAGCCAGCGACTCTGATGTGAGTGTTCCTGCTGCATTGGTTGGGTGGGGCTTTCCCCCCACTCTCGCTCATTTTTGGCATCCTGTTAACGATCTGGAAGGCTTGGGGAGTGCTCCATCCTTCGGAGTGTTCTGCAGTTGCTGGGTGAAATGGCTGTGGAGGGATGCTGAGCCCACGTGCAGCCTTGGGGCTGTGGGAGCAGCTCCAGCACTGCCACGCCTGCAGGAGCCCTGGGCACCTGGCTCAGGGGCTGTTTCTGCACTAACAAAAGCCAAAACAAAGGCTGGAATGCAGCAAAGGTGAGGGCAGAAGGATGTCAGTGCCCTGCCTGAGTTCATCTCTGCAGGTCAGTGCAGCTGGTTTATAAATGCCTGTGTTTTCCGGGGCTGGAGCTGCTAATTGTGTTACCCTGGGCTAATGCAATTCCAGAGGCTGCTCTGATGTGCTGCCAGCCAGGGCTCTGTGCTGCTCTTGGGGTGTAACATCACTGTGGTGGTGCTTGTTGATCACTCCCTGCTCCTCCTTGGCTGTAGATTTTGAAATCTAATTGCATTTCCTGCCTTCTGCCAATTATCTGGGAGGGATCCAGTCGTGGTTCTGCAGGGTGGCTCTGTCCCTGCGCCCTGCACCCTGAGGAGTGTGGGAGATGCTCCTGGAGGCTGCTGGCTGTGCTGGGGAGCTGCTCCAAGGTGTTTCATGTCGTAGCCTCCTCTTCTGAGGCTGTGGAGGAGCAGGACTGGAGCTCTTGGGCAGAGCTGTGGGGTGGGCTCAGGGCTGGGGCCAGCTCCATGTGGGTTTTCCTTCCAGTGACCCCCAGACCCCTCCATCTGACACTTTTCTGTCCTCTTTGGTTGCTCCAGCTGGTGCCAAAGCTTTCTAGAAACTACCTGAAGGAAGGATACATGGAGAAAACAGGGCCAAAGGTAGGATCTGAAGCATTTTTCAGTCCCTCCAAACATGAGTCTTGCTCTGTATGGCCCCGAGAAGGGGTTGATGTTGGGACAAACCAACCCTTCCAAGAGGCAAAGCCATAACTCTGTGAATGTATTTAATGCACTTTCCTCACCTGGGAGCAAACATAAAAAAAAATCCAAATCTACATCACAAGCCCAATGGCCCTTCCTGGTCCAGCTGGCCCAGACCCTGGCTGTGGTGGCTCTGGTGGCCCAGAAGCCATCTGCTCCCAACTGCCCCAGCCCATCAGGCTGCTCCAGGTGCTTTGACACTCCTGGGACATGCGTGCTTAGAGAGCAGCTGTGCTGTTTGGGTGTGTGATCTGGCATTTTTTGACTCCTCAGCAAACAGAGGGATTCAAGAAGCGATGGTTCACCATGGATGACCGACGGCTCATGTATTTCAAAGATCCCCTGGTAAGATGAAGGTGTCTGGGCTGCCTGGGGGGAATTACCTGCAATACTACTAATAATAGGAGTAATAGCAGTAATAATTACAGTAATGATCTGCAGCAAAATGCAGGCTGGTGGGAGAGCCAAGAGGGCACAGGGCTGTCACTGCTTGGTGGCTCTGCCAGGTGTCCAGTGGGCAGTAACCCTATAAATACCAAAACCACTTTAAAAGCCCAATCCAGATATTCTGCATCTGGATTGTGGCTCCCTGGTGTTGGTGCTGTACTGTGGGTACCCCTGGGTGAGGAGCAGGGCTGTGGGTAGTGCTGTTGGGGTTTGGCTGATGGGCTTGTGGCTGCTACAGGATGTGAAAAACACCTATCACTTGTTTTTAAAAAAATTTAAAAGTTTAATAATAATAAAATGGTTATAAAAATAGCAATATAATTAGAGTAATAATAATTTGGACAATTTGGATTAGGACAATATGAGACAATAAAAAACAAAGAGTTATGGACATCCAGGTACCTTTTTCTGGGCAAAATAAGCCCAAAAAAGGACACATGTTAACAGAGGATTAACCCTTAAAAACAGTAGCCTGTTGCATATTCATACAATGCATACGAGATTTAGGTGTCCTGTGGTTGCTATCTGGTGCAGGTAGCTCATTCCTTTCTTAAATTAAAAAAAAAAAAATCCCACATACATAGTTCCTATGTATGTAACATTATGTTACAACCTGAAACACACTACTTGTATATTTATAGGTGTATGTGTATATTTATATATGTGTATATATATATATGTGTATATTTAACACACTACTTGAGAAAATCAATGCAGCATAACTTTCTAACATAACACGTATAATATTCATCCTAATATTTGCCAAAAGCCAATCATAAAATGCACATTTTTCACAAGGACAAGCTGTCCTGGCTGCCCGGGATGCAGAGCTCCTTTCACCCTCACCCCTGCCTGACTGCTCTGCTGTCTCCTAGGATGCCTTTGCCAGAGGGGAGGTTTTTATTGGGAGCAAGGAGAACAGCTACAAGGTGCTGGAAGGGCTGCCACCATCCACGCAGGGGAACCACTGGCAGCACGGGATCACCATCGTCACCCCGGATCGGAAATTCCTCTTCGCCTGCGAGACAGAGGACGACCAGCTGGAGTGGATCACCACCTTTCAGAAGGTCATAAGCCGGCCAATGCTGCCTCAGGAATACGCAGGTGTGTTCCCTGGGTGTCAGCCCTGGCCTGCTGGGTGCCCTGGGCTGGAGGATGGGCTGGCTGGAGGGGCCTGGGGGTCAGGACATGGCTCCTGCGTTGTTCTGCAGCAGCTCTTCACTGCCCAGGGGCATGCAAAGGCTGTTTGAGCAGAGAGGGGCTCGCCCTGGGAGGAGGAGGAGGAGGGTGGTATCCTTCCCTCTCCATTGCCTCTGCTGTGATGTCCATGCTGCTGTATGGTTGTAGGGGTAACTGAAGCCACGGAGCATCAGCAAGGACCACTGTCAGGGTGGGCTTGTGCCAGGCTGTCACCACCTGCCAGTGCTTGTCGTGCTCTAACTTTATTTTCTCTATTTTTGCCTTTCAGTGGAAGCCCATTTCAAACATAAACCTTAGCTGGGACTTGCTGGGCAGACCTGAGGAGCGAGCTTCTGTTTACAACACGACGTGGTTTTATTTGAAATGTTAAAAATAATTCATAATAACAGTAATAATAATAACAATAATAATACTTCCCTTTCCCCTCATCATTCACGTGATCATGTCGGAAGGGCGGCAGTGGAACGTCGGAGAAGATCCTGATCCAACTTGAAATTCAGCTCTGTGGCTGCTCTGTGGGATGGGACAGGTGGTGCTGCCACCCACCACCCCACACCCGCTGGAAGGGGCACCCAGCTTCACCAGGATGGCAGAGACTGTTGGTGGCACATCCCAGGGGCAGGTGGGACTCTTCCCCATGCTCAGGTCCCTGGGTGCTGGAGCTGAGCATCCCCACACTTCCAGATGGCTGCCAGCCCTTTCCAGGGGGGCTGCAAGTCCCCAAGGGGTGACGTCCCTGTGGGATGGGAAGCAGCCTGGAAACACACGGAAGGTGCTGTGCAAAGCAGCTGAGCCTGCCGTGGTGCCAGGGTAATGATAAGTGAATTATCCCCCTGGGAACTGGAGGTGATGCTGTACCCAGAGAGGGTCAAATAGGATTTATAAGTAGAGGAAATGGGCATCATCAGCCTCGTTAAGTTAACGAAGGGCAGGGAGGAGGGGGCTGCAAGGGAGATGCCAACCTGTGAGGTGATGCTGGGGGAGCAGAGCTTTGGGGCCAGGTCTGTGTTTGGCTCCCTGGGTCATCCCTGTTCCATGGTCTGGGGGGCTTTGCCCCATTTGGGGAGCCCGATATGGAGCTGGGGGGTTGAGCTTTATCTGCAGTTTTGCTGATGGGCACCACCAAAGCCTGTCTCAGCTCACTCCCAGCAGGCACATCCCTTCTTCAGACTTGGTGGTTGCACTTTTTCCCCCAATAATCCAATTTTTTTTTTGGTTGATTTTTCTTCTCCTGCCCAAAAAAAAAAAGAAAAAAAAAAAAAGCTGCTTGAAGTGACGTTTCAGCGCGGTGTTGAGCACTGTAATTCCTGCAGTTAGGGCGGGCGGGCTGGGAGCTGCACACCAGGTGCTGGATTTTTACCCAAAAATGAGATTTCTGGCTTGCCCTGAAGGCCCAGCCCCAGCCACGGACCTGTCCGACGCGTTTCTTAGGGTGGTTGTGTATCTGAGAGCATCTCATCGGCTGTGTGCATTCGTTCTGTCACTGGTAAGACAACTGTGGTACTAAATGTCATTTGAACCAATAAATTATTATTATTATGTCAGAGCCGTGGCCGTGTGGTGCTGGGGCAGGGAGGGAGGTGGGGTTAAAAAGCAGCAATGGAAACAAAGAGGTGCCAGTGCTGGCAGGGCCCCAGGGGTGTGGGACACCCTCAAAACCATCTGCCCCAGCCTGGCACACAATGTGTATTATTTAATCTATTATTTGCGTGTATGTGTGTGTTGTAGTGCATATTCTGTGTGTTTTCTCTATAAAACTTCTTCATGTGTGCACACATATACACAAAGGATAGCTGGCTCTTGGGAATAGAGAAATAAGCTTTAGGAAGGGGCTGTTGGCTATTCAGACAACTATAAACTGCATAGTGGATAGAGTGTAATATATAAAATGTGTATGTATGAGGTGTTCATATGCACACATTCATGTACAGATATAGCACTCAGATATTAAATTTACAAATATAAGCTAAATGCATTTCACACACCTGTTTATTTATAGACATTTTTATACTTTGTTTTCTAAAATATGTGATTATATATTATATACACATGTGCATGCTTTACATGTAATTTATATTTATAAATTTAAGGTATATATATTGCATATAAACATACATATATCTGCATGCACATGTGTATGCATAACTATAATTATATATTTAACTTATATTTAAAGTATTTATAAATGTATGTTACCCACACACTGTCATTCACACTCACCAACCCAGGCAGAGCAGAAGCAGGGAGAGAACAGACTGGGTTCCTTGTTTGTTTATAGGTAGCTATAAAAATTGTTTTGCGTGCATGTATAATTAAGAATAGTAGTATAAATGATATGTATTGGAAGTATATAATTATCTATACAAAAGGCTGTTTATATGTGTGTGTGTACACATGTATTTTAAATTCCTAGGTATATATTTTATACACACACACACATACATTCTGTATATACTGTTGTAATTATTGAATATACATTTTGTGCATCCACCTGTAGGTGCCCCAGCCCTGGAGCACTGCCCTCCTGTCAGGGCTGGGGTTTTGGGGTCAGGGCACAGGCAGAGCTCACAGTGGGAGCTGCTGCAGACAGAACTGAGGTAAAAACCTCCCATGGGGTCACAGACAGGGACACAGCAGGGACATGTGCTGGATGCCTGTGGACACCTCATGCTGCCTGAGCAGCACATTCCTGGCAGCCAAAAGCAATGAAATGCTGCGGGCTCTAAACCTCTGCTGACATCCCAGTCAGTGTCCATAGCACCAGCCCGGAGAGGGAGCTCTTCCCTTAACCTGCTGCACAGCAAAGCAAGCCCCATCTGCTCCAGATATCCCAACAGCCCAAGAGGATTACACCTTCACTGCACAGAGGGGAAGTGCAGCACCGAGGGCTGGATGACCCACAGCGAAATGCAGAGTGAAAAAAACAGCAAGGATTGTAAAGCTCTGCTTAGGAAACTCTTAGAAAGCAGCAGTATCGCACATCCTGGTATAAAGTGTTTATTTGAGACTTCACAATTAACACAAAGTCTTCCTGTCAATGCCTTTTTTTTTTCATACAGTCAATAAATTTGTATTAATCCCTCCCCCATGCATGATTGCTGTTTATTAATCTAAGCCTTTTTATTTTCATCGTGAAAAAATAAAGCGTTTCCCCACCCTTTCACCTGTTCCCTGTACCACACTGTGCTGCATTACAGAGGAGATGGAGAATGGCTATGCCTACTGCTGGGGGTGAAGTTACTCCATTATTTATTGATTTACTCTTTTTTTTAACAGAAAGTGTTAAATGAATCAATCACCCAAGAAAAATAAATATATCATAAAGAACCAGAAGCTCTGCAGTATCCCTTTTCTTGCCATCCAGCCCAGTTCAAACACATACCCTGCCCACGGCAAACTGCTCTGCTCACAGCAATGCTGCCGCCTGCACGTACAGCTGGGAACTTACACTGCCAAAATCTCTTCCAAAGTACATTCATAAGCCACAGGACGTATTTTAGATGCCAAATTTTTATATCTAGGCAAGAGAGATCCACCTGGAAGCCAATTACCTGCGTTCCACTGATGGACTTTTACTCAAGAGCTATTCAACCTTGTGCTTTTCAGGAAGTATCGGCTAAACACACGCGTGGGCTCAGCCAGAGCCTGGCCTGGGGAGAGGGGCAGGCAGTATGAAGGGTGTGCATGTTACTCATGGCAGTGGAAGCAAGTTCTTGTATCAATGTCTCTTGGATGTGCATCTCAAATTATGCTGCTTGGTTCGTCTCGCAGTACTTTTGGCACCAGCCTCACAAATCAATTATTCAATTGCTCCCCCTGCCTTTCGAGATCTTCCTTGGAAGAGGGCAGAGGGCAAGGAGGCTTTGTCAGAACACAGATGGTATTGGGTAGGCTGTGAAGGACAAGCCCCGTGTTTATGCTTTATTGAAAGACTGTGCAAAAGGGAATACTGCATCAGAAACCGCAGACTATGTTTAATCAGTCCCAGCTGCTGGATCGGAAACCCACTAACAACCGCTCCGATTGGTTCATTTGGCTACTTTTTGTTGGTTTCTTTCTTTTTTTTTTTACATAAATAATATAGACCGACAGTATAAACATTTCAGCAACCATTTCTAAAAGACCAGAGGAGCCCTTTTAGGAGCCAAGAAACAACTGCAGGATTCAAATTCCAAAAGTGTCTTTGGAGTCATCGAATCATCAGATTTACACGGCACCCAGTGACAACAACATTCAGTCGAGCTCGATAGGACTGCTGTCTTCCTGACCATCTTCTGTGTCATCATCTTCCCCAGTTCCCATCAGACTGTTTAAAAGATTTCCTAAAATAAAATACAGGACAGTCAAAATCATTAGTTTTACATTCTCATCTCAAAAACTTTTAACTAGTCTTCCATTCTGCTACCGTACAGATTTCTGTAACAAAAAAACCCCAAGAGTTTTGAAGTGGAAGTCTCACCAGGACATTAGTAATCCCACACTGCCTTCCATTATGAATATTGATTTGGGAAGCTGCATACTCTTAGCTGTACACTGATACTGCTCCTTCTCTAAGAATACACTTGAAAAACCCAAAGTCACATATTTATGTGCTACAGTTGCACACTCAGAGAGAAAAAAAACCCAACCAAAAGAGGAAAAACACACCTCCAGCAGTGAAACTCTCAAAAAGCAGCCACAGTCTGCACCGTGCTGTAAAAAAATTGTCTGAAACTCAGAGGCATCAATTTAAAGATGCCTGAATTGCTGAAAAGCAAATTACAGATAGTAAAAATATGATGTTCGTGTTTTTCATCAGGCTTCAGGTATCAGTGAATTGATGTTTGTAGGTAAAGCTTCAAGTCACTTTACAAAGAAGCTTAGTTCTCAGGGAAAACATTGATTTTATGCACATTTTATTCAAGAGCCAGGAAATGAGGGCTGAATTTCTCTATTCCATTTCAGTCCTTGTAGAAGGGTAGTAATTTCAGAACTTCCTCTTTGGACACATTCATGTTGCATCAGTACCAATCAGATCTCTACCAAAGCCCCATACTTTGTTTAAGAAAAATTAGTCACTGAACTCTGAGGAAATTAAGCTTTAACACCAGTAAGATGCTTCTTTACATTAGGAAACTATACCATAATGCCAGAAATTAACCATAAGAGTCTTTTTACTGCTTCTCCCCTTCTCAGTGATGAAAAGTCTACAAGCTCCCCCCAAACCACTTTCATATGCAACCCATTTATCTTGTATTCTACAGCAGTGGCTGTTCCTACAGGCTATGAAAAGAATTATAAATTGCTTAGAACAGATTATCTGTTTCCAACACAGGTGTTTTATCCAGGTCACTGATCAAAGCCTGGAGGTACCTACAAGCAGAGCTTACCTAGCAATCCTCCATAGGACGAGGTCTGCTTGGGCGGAACTCCGAAGAAAAGCTGTCCTATTCTATCTAGGTACTGGAGGGACACAAGGTGAAAAAAAGGCAATTATTTCATTTACAAGCAGAAATAATATAGGCAGAAGTCACCCAGGCAAGGTAAATCACCAGCTCTTATCTACAAAGCTGGAGCCAATCAGCCATTATTTCAGTCGTTGAGAGAGTTAAATCCTGTTTGTGAGTAACTCACCTCATTATACATGGGGTCTCTTTTCAGCGAAGGTTGATACTGTTCACACAATACTGTAAATACTGTTAGTTTTCCTCTAGAAAGGAAACAACCAAAAATGTAATCTCAGTTAACAACTGAAAAGGAAACCAAGAAGGACATGACAGAAATCAGACTGTACCCATCAACTGCCAACAACAGAAACCAGATGAAGTTTAGCAGTGGTTGCACAAAGGGTGGACCCTTCTCTATCGAAGGATGTTTCTGTGTGTATGTCGTAAAAACAACTGATGCGCTGGTCTTATTTTTTAAGCAGAGAAATCTGAAAAAGGAAAGAGAATGGGGCAAGTTAAAAACAAAGGGCAGAGAAATGGTTTCACCACAGAAAAAGGGAAGCCAAAATCTACTTCATTTGTGCATAGAGGCCCCATGTCAGGCTTGAACTGATGGCAAAACGAAACTGTTAGAGATGGACATCTTTGAGGATGGTTTGGCCATCAGCTGAGGAAGGGGAAAATCACTACTAGAACACACTGTGGAACAGGCAGGTGGGGAGGGAAAACAGACACTAAATATTAATAGAATGAGTTGAACCAGGATCTAAGCAGATCGTACAGGATAGTTACTAAAAGAGAGCATCACTTTGCAAAATGTGGAACGACTGGCTACCCTGTAATTCACATGAAAATGATATGGCATCTACTGGTTCAGGATTTAGTGAGTTAAAAACTGAATTAAAGACCCATTAATCCCCAAGCACATCTCCTTTTAGTATGTATCTGTCAGTATTTGTTGACTCTGTCATTCTATTCCACCTCAACATAATGTGGCATCAGGACCACTAATAGCCTGACACACATGCCTGAAAATCTCATAATAAAGCTGTACTTCGAGCTCCCAAACCATTTGTCCCCAACAGATCGATCCCTCAAACAGATCAAATCC